GAGAGATTTTGGGCTTGTTGCAAACTCCAAAGAATTCAAATCTCCACCCCGTGTGCTCGCGGTGACGCCGGCTCTGCCCGGGTGACAGCGCGACCCACTGCAGTGGGGCTGCAGCACCAACCCCTCTGTGCCTCAGGCCACCAAAACTGAACCTGGGGGGCAAAACCCCTTCAAAACCCAGCTAAGGGGGGCAAAACCCCTTTAAAACCAAACCCTGGGGGGTCAAAACTCATCCAAGAAAGAGCCCGGGGGGGGTAAAAGCCCCTCAGAAACAAACACAGGTGGCAACTTGTCACCTGAAGCCTGGAGGTAAAACACCCCTAACACGAAACCCAGGCAGGTAAAACCTCCTCAAAACCGAGCCCAGGAGGGCAAAACCCCTTTAAAACCAACCCCAGGGGGGCAAAACTCACCCAAGACAGAGCCAAGGGGGGGAAAGCCCCTCAAAAACGAACACAGGTACCAACTTGTCACCTGAAGTCTGGAGGTAAAACAACCCCAACACTGAACCCGGGGGGGGTAAAACCCCCTCAAAACCGAACCCGGAGGGCAAAACCCCCTCAAAACCCAACCCATGGGGCAACCTGTCACCCTAAACCGAACGCGAGAGGGGCAACCCCTCATCCCAAAGCGAATTAGGAGGGGCAAAACCCCCTTTTAAACTGACTCCGGGGGACAAAACTCCCGTCAAAGCGAGCGGGGGGGGGGGTGACGGTGGCGGTGCCAGCCCGGCCCGCAGCGTTACATAAGGCAGCGCCCGCACCGCAGCGCCCCGGCCCCGCGCCGCCACATCAGCGCGGCCGCTCCCGCTCCCCTCAGCCCCGCCACCACCCCCGCGGAGGGGGTGACACGTCCCCCCCGTGTCCCCATTGCCCCACCACATCCCCCCCCCCCCCCGCCCTGCCCTCCCCGCGCCGCCGCGGCCCAGCTCGGGCAGCACAGGCCGCATCGGGCGGCGCGGGGCCGCGCGGGAGCGGCGGGCGCGCCATCGCCGGCGGTGCGGGCGAAGCGGAGGCCGCTGGTGGCGCCGGTGGCGGCGGCGGGCGGCGGGGGCTCACCATGGTGGCGGATGGCGGCGGATGCTGCGGGGCGGGGGGGGCGCGGCAATGGCGGCGGCTCGGCCCTGTCTCGCTGGCGAGCGCAGAGCGGGCGGAAGAGAGCGCTGACGTCAGCCGGTCCCCTCTTATAGGGCGGGGGGCGGTGCCGGCGCGCGGCGCCTGCGCGCCGGGGCCGCTCTGCCCGCCGGACTCTATGGTTTGGTGGGGTGAGGGAACGGGGAGGGAGGTTTGTGGGGTGAGGGGGGAAGGGCGGGAGGGGGCGGTTGATCCGCCGCGTCGGGAACACGCGGGTTGTCGCCGGGGCTACACCCGCCTCGCTGTACCGAAAACAGCGAGCGGTAATGACCGCTCTGCCCTGCCGGGCTGCAGCGAGGGGAGAGTCCCGGTGACGCTCTCGGCGCGCGGAGGGCCCCGCCACCGGTTACACCCGAGCGGCGGGCGAGCCCCGGGGGGCTCACAGGAAGAGGCGACAGGGCTGAGCCCCGTGTCAGCCCCGGTACCGGGAACCCGCACCGGGTCCCGCCCTGGCCCCGCAGGGTCCCCGCACTGCGCATGCGCCGCGCGGGACGGGGATAACGGGGCTTCGGTGCTTTGGCGCCCCCTGCTGGCGGGGAGGACCGGGGGCACCGGGATGGGGGACCCGGCATGGGGGCACCCCGCGGGACCCCCTCGGGCACCGGCCTGACCCCCCCGGGGCAGGAGGGGCATTGTGGAGCCACAGGGCTCGGGTACCGCGGTGTCCCCGTGTGCCCCCATCGCCCCCCGGGGGTGCAGCACTGGGGAAGGGGGGTCACCCCGCAGCCCCGGGGGCACCGCTCCTGCCCGGCCCCAGGGCTCTGAGGGTCCCACTGGCACCCTGGGGTCCCGCTGGGTGGTGGGTGAGTCCGTCCAGAAGCTGTAGAATGGCTGTGCACCACCTGGGAAGAGCCCATGTGCCGTTCAGGGGAGATTCATCCCATCCCAGCAGAGGATGGAAGGGCCAAACCCCCTGGGATGCTCCCAGTGGGTTGGGATGCTGAGGCTGGACACGACGGAGGAGCCTCAGGGGAGGTGGGGACACCATAACAGGGGGTGACACACCCCCAGGGGGGCTCCAGAGATGGGGGACACAACTCTCCAGCTCCACACCATAAATATTTTCCTGCTTTTTTCCTTCTCCTTGGCACCACAGGAGGCCAGTGCCCCACCTCTGTGAGATGCAGTGTTAAACCTCACACAAATCATGGAATCCCAGGACGGTTTGGGTTGGAAGGGACATTAAGGATCATTTCATTCCAACCCCCTGCCATGGGCAGGGACACCTTCCACTACCCCAGATTGCTCCAAGCTGGCCTTGGACACTTCCAGGGATGGGGCAGCCACAGCTTCTCTGGGCAACCTGTGCCAGGGCCTCACCACCTTCCCAGGGAGGAATTCCTTCCCAAAATCCCATCTAAACCTGCCCTCTGGCAGTGGGAAGCCACTCCCCCTTGTCCTATCCCTCTATCCCTTGTCCCAAGTCCCTCTCCAGCTCTCCTGGAGCCTCTTTAGGCCCTGGAAGGGGCTCTGAGCTGTCTCCAGAACCTTCTCTTCTCCAGGCTGCACATTCCCAATCTCTCAGTCTTAATCCAAGCCACTGCCCCCACACCGCCTCAGTGGCAGCTCCTAAATTCCCAGCACGTTCCCAGCCTGTCTTTCCCAGGCAGGGATGGGCAGGACAGTGGTGGAGCTGCACCCAGGCTGGATTTGGCCCTGGCTCTGCTGGTGTGACAGGATGAGTTATCAGCCACTGGGGTTTCCATAGCAATCCCTCGGATTTTTAGCACCAACCCTGGCTTTTGCCAGCCTGGAAGGGAAAACTGGGGAGCCTGATTAACATATTGGTCTGCCTGGGAAACCGTTAATTGCCTTTTTATTTAATTAGTGTGGGGGGTTGAGGAGGAGGAGGAGGAGAAAGTGTTGGAAAACCTCTCCCAGTGTTTCACCCGAAATCCTGGAGTTATGCCCCAGTAACTCTACCTGGAGATGGAGGGGAGACAGGTGTGCACCTGCTCCATAGAAACAGAGCAACCACATCCCAGGGGAATTGGGAAAATCCATTGGATTGGGGAAAATCATTTAGATCACAGAACCTCCTGAGCTGAGAGGGACCCCCAAGGATTATCCAGTCCAAGTCCTGGCCCTGCACAGACACCCCAGCAATCCCACCCTGTCCCTCAGGGGATCATCCAAACCCTCCTGGAGCTCTGGCAGCCTTGGGGCCGTGCCCACTGCCCTGGGGAGCCTGGTCAGTGCCCAACCACCCTCTGGGGGAAGAACCTTTCCCTGAGATCCATCCCAAACCTCCCCTGACACAGCTCCAGCCATTCCCTGGGTCCTGGCCCTGCTCACAGGGAGCAGAGATTGGAGCTGCCCCTCCTGAGGAAGCTGCAGGCTGCGATATATTATAAATATTATATTATTATATTTTAAATACATATATAACTATTATTAAAAGTTGGGTTTTATACATGCCTAATGTTAATAGGTTAATGTTGCCCACGGAGGCACAAACACTGACCAGTGAGGAAGGCCTGGGGGGTCTCTGGGATGTCGTTGCCACGGAGCAGGTTTGGGCCAGGAGATGCCTCATGTTCCCTGTGGGATTGTGTCCCAGTGGAAGGAATGTTGGGAGGCATCAAGGCTGTTCCACAGTGTCCCTCCGGGCTCTGGCAGCTCCAAGGTGTGGGATCCCACGGGAAAATGTGGGATTTGCAAGTTCAGCTTCAAGAAAATGTGGGACGAGGAGGATGAGGAGGGTGGTGTCCTTTGGGTTTCTCTGATGAAGGCACAGATCCAAAACCACAGGATCATGGAGTCATGGAGGTTGGAAAAGACCTCCAGGATCATCCAGTCCACCCTGTGCCCCATCCCCACCTTGTCCCCCAGCCCAGAGCACTGAGGGCCACGTCCAGTCCTTCCCTGGACACCTCCAGGGCTGGGGACTCCAAACCTCCCTGGGCAGCCCCTTCCAGTGCCTGAGCACCCTTTCCACGGAGAAATTCCTCCTGATGTCCAGCCTGACCCTCCCCTGGCACAACTTGGGACCGTTCCCTCTCCTCCTGTCCCTTGTTCCCTGGGAGCAGAGCCCGATCCCAGCCAGCTCCCCCCTCCTGTCAGGGAGTTGCAGAGAGCAAACCCACTGTTTCCTTGGATTTTTCTCCAGAGGGGTTGATTTTTTTCTCTCTCCAGAAAAGCCTCCAAGAGCCTCCCGCACTTCAGGAGCGTTTCCTGGTGCCACCACGAGCGAGGGGATCAAGTGACCCCCTATTTGGGGACAAAACTGTCCTGAGGGACCCTTGAGCCAAAGGGAGCCCAGACTGAAATGCCAGGAATGGGGTGCAGAGAGGCCCTTCCCCACACCCCCACCCCGGGAACCAGGACACGGGGGGACCCTTCCCAAGCCCCCCAAAGCACAGGGAGACCCTTCCCCACCCCCCGGGGCACAGGGGGTGCCTTCCCCATCCCCATCCCTCCCCTCCCAGGGCCCTCACCCCCCTCCAGGAGCCCCCCCTCGGGCTTCCCTCCTCAGCGGGGACACCCCACAGAGCCCCAGAACGGCGGCCGAAGCCCCTGAGCCCCCCGTGCCCACCCCGCGCCCTGCCCTGCCCCGGGGGCATCCACCTGCCGCCATCTTGGGGGCAGCACCCCCCGCCCTTCCACGCACCCGCTCTCCCTCCCTTGTCACCCGCAGAGCCGCCTCCCACCCCATTCCCACCCCCGCTCCCCCCTTGTCCCCCTTTGTCCCCTCCCCCGCTGCCCCCCCTCGGCGTCCCCTCAATTTACGCCGCGCGGCCCCTTTAAGACTCCCCGCGCGGGGCGTGGCCTCGAGGGGTGTGGCCGCGCGCGCGGGGGGCGGGCGGGCGTGGCCGGAGAGCGCCGCTCGCTCGCGGATTGGGCCGTTCCCCTCCGGCGCGGCCCCGCCCCCTCGGGGCGGGTCACGTGACCCGGCGGCGGCGGCGGCGCCCGGCGCGGTGGACGCTGGAGGCCCAAGATGGCGGCGGAGCTGGTGGAGGCGAAGGTGAGGGGAAGCGGCGCCGCCGCCCCGCCCGCGGGATCCCCCGCGCGCCACTGGCAGGACCCCGGCGGGGGCGAGGCCGCGGCGGAGCAGCGCCGCGAACCGCCGAGCGAGGCGCCCCCCCGGCACCGCCCCCGCCGCTTTCTCCCCCCCCCCCCTCCCCCTCAGGGGGCTGCCCCGCCCCGGCCGCAGGGCCGCGGCCCCCGCCGGACCTCACGGGCTTTTACGGGGCTGGGGCGACCCGCGGCGCCGCCGGCAATCCCTGCAGGGCTGGGCTGACCTCGCCGGCTGTTAATTCGCGGGATTAATTAGCGCAGGTGCTGCCCCCGCGCCCCCCGGTCGGTGCCCGGTGCGGGGCGGCCCTGAGGGCCCTCCGTGAGGGGGTGAAGCCAATTCCTGCCGGCGCTCGTGTTCTGTTCCCAAGGCGGCTCGTGCCGCCTCTTGAATGCCGCGGGAAGGGAGCGGGTTATCCCTCGGGATCCCTGTTTTCCCTCGGGATCCCGGCGCTCGGGCACTGCTAAGGGAGCCGGAGGTTCCCCGTGTCCCGCCGGGGGTGCGGGGCTGGGGGGGCAGCGCCCGGGACCGGCCGGTGCCTCCCCGCAGCATCCCGGGACAGCCGGTGCTGAAGGAGCGGCTGGGGAGTGTCCCCTGGGAAGAATTCCCTGGAAAGTGTCCCCTGGAAGCATTCCTTGGGGAGAGTTCCCTGGGAAGTGATCCCTGGTAGTGTTCCTTGGGAAGAATTCCCTGGGAAGTCACCCCTGGAAGCGCTGCTTGGGAAGAGTTCCTTGGGAAGAATTCCCTAGGAAGTCATCCCTGGAAGTGTCCTTGGGAAGAATTCCCTGGGAAGTCATCCCTGGAAGCATTCCTTGGGAAGATTTCCTTGGGAAGAATTCCCTGGGAAGTCACCCCTGGAAGCATTCCTTGGGGAGAATTCCTTGGGAAGAATTCCCTAGGAAGTCTCTTCTGGAAGTGTTCCTTGGGAAGAATTCCCTGGGAAGAATTCCCTAGGAAGTCACCCCTGGAAGCATTCCCTGGGATGTGTCCCCTGGAAACATTCCTTGGGAAGAATTCCCTAGGAAGTCACCCCTGGAAGCATTCCCTGGGATGTGTCCCCTGGAATCGTTCCTTGGGGAGAATTCCTTGGGAAGAATTCCCTGGGAAGTCACCCCTGGAAGTGTTCCTTGGGAAGAATTCCCTGGGAAGTCACCCCTGGAATCGTTCCTTGGGAAGAATTCCTTGGGAAGAAATCCCTGGGAAGTCATCCCTGGAAGCATTCCTTGGGAAGAATTCCTTGGGAAGTCACCCCTGTAAGTGTTCCTTGAGGAGAATTCCTTGGGGAGAATTCCTTGGGAAGAATTCCCTGGGAAGTCATCCCTGGAATCGTTCCTTGGGAAGAATTCCTTGGGAAGTCACCCCTGTAAGTGTTCCTTGAGGAGAATTCCTTAGGAAGAATTCCCTGGGAAGTCACCCCTGGAAGAATTCCTTGGGAAGAATTCCCTGGGAAGTCACCCCTGGATTTCTCTGGGATTTCCCAGGTGGGATCTGGTGGAGCAGCCCCACCAATCCAGAGCTCTGGAATCCTCATTTTCTGGCAGTTAAACCCCTTTTCTCTCCTCTTTAGTTACCTTTTTTTTTTCCCCCCTCATCCGAGATATTTTGGGACACATCACGACTCCCAGAAATTTTAACTCCAGCTTTGGGCTTTGCAGATGAAATGACACATTTAATGAAAAAGGAGAAAATCAAATGGCATTTTTCTCCCCAGTCTTAATTCCCACACATCCAAAAGTGGCTGTTAAATATCTCTGGAATCAGCTGTAGCTTTCTCAATTAAAAAAAAAAAATAAATAATCTGTAGCTGTTTTATTCCAGGAAATTATAAGACTACTGTAAATTCCACAGAAATCTGACTTTTATCCTTTTTTTTATTTAATTATTGTTGAATCCAAGAGCGGGGTGGAGGTTGGGGAAGAGAGACTTGCTGGATCTTTGCTGCTGGATTGGTTTTTAACTGGGATTTCTTCTTGAAATCCCATATTTCCCACAAACCAGGAAGGACATGGGGTGAATATTTAATTTTAAATTTTCAAACCCATGTACTTTATAAGCTCTTTTTTTTTTTTTTTTTTGGCAATTTTAAGGCTGTTTGGTTTCCAGGGAACTGCAACACCAACCTGGCCAAGCTGTAACCATGGAATAATTAACAGGAATAACTTGGTTTTTAACCTGATGGGAAGTGTGGCACAGCCTGGCCTTTAAATCTGCTGATGCTTCCAGGGCTGAATTCCCACAGAGAGAGGGAATTTTGGGAGGCTGGGCTGGGTTTTCTCGCTTATCTGATGCCGGAATTGAGAATTCCAGGGAGCCACCAAGGCAGCTCCTGGCTGGGATCACGGAGTGCTTGGCACAGCACCCACGTGGGGCTTGGAGATGTTCTCTGGGAACACACTGCTCTCTTGAATCCCAGAATCAGCTGGGTTGGAAGGGACCTCTGAGATCATCAATCCAACCCTTGATCCAACCCCGCTGTGGTTCCCAGCCCAGGGCACTGATGCCACATCCAGTCTCTTCTTAAACACCTCCAGGGATGGAGAATCCACCCCTTCCCTGGGCAGCCCATTCCAATGGCTGAGCACCCTCTCTGGGAAGAAATTCTCCCTGATATCCAACCTAACCCTCCCCTGGCACAGCTTCAGACCCAGCCCTCTTGTCTTGCTGATGGTTGCCTGGGAAAAGAGACCAACCCCCCCCGGCTCCCCCCTCCTGTCAGGGAGTTGCAGAGAGTGAGGAGGTCTCCCCTGAGCCTCCTCTTCTCCAGGCTGAGCCCCCCCAGCTCCCTCAGCCTCTCCTCATGGGAATTGTGCTCCAGTCCCTTCCCCAGCCTCGTTGCTCTCCTCTGGACCTGCTCCAGCCCCTCCATGTCCTTCCTGAGCTGAGGGCCCAGAGCTGGACACAGCACTCCAGGGGTGGCCTCACCAGTGCTGAGTCCAGGGCAAGAATCACTTCCTTGGCCCTGTTGGCCACCCTGTTCCTGATCCAGGCCAGGATCCATTGGCCTTCTTGCCCCCCTGGGCACACTCTGGCTCCTGTTCAGCTCCCTGTCCATCCCCACTCCCAGCTCCCTTCCTGCCTGGCTGCTCTCCAGCCACTCTGTCCCAGCCTGGAGCTGCCGGGGGTTGTTGTGGCCAAAGGGCAGGACCCGGCCCTTGGCCTGGTTGAACCTCATCCCCTTGGAATCAGCCCATGGATCCAACCTCTCCAGGCCAATATCATCTTAATATCCTTCCATCCTCTAAAAAAGGGGATGTTCCCAAAGATCCTGGGCATGGAGGAGGGATTCTGGAGGGGGTTTTTTGCCCATTCCTGAAATCCACTGGTGACCCTGGTTCTCCTGAGCCTCACCTGCCCCCAGCTCCCACTGATTCCCTTCCTCTGCCTTACGCCAACACCAGTGGGGAGGAAATTTTCCCTGGGATTCTCTTCCCAGAGGAGGGAGGGAATTCTCTTCCTGGGAGGTTTGGGTGCCTCGAGCCTGTGTGCTGAAGGAGTTCCTGTGCTCTTCTGCACGTGGGACCTGCTGCTTGAGGCCTTGGTGGGCATTTCTGCTTCCAGCTGACCTGTCTCCAGGATGCTCCCTTGGAGCAACTCTCTAAGTGATTTTTGTGTCATTTGATCCCTTTGCTGGTGTTTGTTTGTCAGGGATTTCTGTGTAATTTGATGCCTATCCTGGTGGGTTTTTATCAGAGTGATTTTTGTGTAATTTGGTGCCTATCCTTGTGTTTGTCTGTCTGGAATTTTTGTGTAATTTGGTGCCTATCCTGGTGTTTTTCTCTCAGGAATTTCTGTGTAATTTGGTGCCTGTCCTGGTGGTTTTTATTGAAGTGATTTTTGTGTAGTTTGGTGCTATCCTGGTGTTTTTCTATTAGGGATTTCTGTGTAATTTGGTGCCTATCCTGATGTTTTTCTGTCAGGGGTTTTTGTGTAATTTGATGCCTATCCTGGTGGTTTTTTATCAGAGTGATTTTTGTGTAATTTGGTGCCTATCCTGGTGTTTTTTATTGAAGTGATTTTTGTGTAATTTGGTGCCTATCCTGGTGTATTTCTATCACAGGGATTTCTGTGCAATTCGATGCCTATCCTGGTGTTTTCCTATCAAAGTGATTTTTGTGTAATTTGATCCCTATCCTGGTGTTTGTCTGTCAGGGATTTCTGTGTAATTTGGTGCCTATCCTCGTGGTTTTCCATCAGTAATTTTTATGTAATTTGGTGCCTGTCCTGGTGTTTGTCTATCAGGGATTTTAGTGTAATTTGGTGCCTGTCCTGGTGTTTTTCTATCAGTGATTTTTGTGTAATTTGATGCCTATCCTGGTGTTTTCCTATCAAAGTGATTTCTGTGCAATTTGATCCCTATCCTGGTGTTTGTCTATCAGTGATTTTCGTGCAATTTCTTGCCTATCCTGGTAGTTTTTTATCAGTGATTTCTGTGCAATTTGTTGCCTATCCTGGTGTTTCTCTAATTTTCCTAATTACACCATTTCAATCACCCATCTCTGTGTCGTTCAAACCCTTAAGAAAAGGGGAAGCAAACCAAGCACCAACACCGAGTTTGCACAACTCTGGGGGTGGAACTTTTTACTACTTGCCTTCTAATGAATAAATCAAGAACCGACAACCTTTGCCTCTCATAACTATAAGACCCTCTCCAATTTTTTATCCCCCAGAACATGGTGATGAGTTTCCGGGTCTCAGATCTTCAGATGTTGCTGGGTTTTGTTGGCAGGAGTAAAAGCGGACTTAAACACGAACTAGTGACCCGAGCTTTGCAGCTGGTCCAGTTTGACTGCAGCCCTGAGGTGTTCAAGAAAATCAAGGAGCTCTACGAGACTCGTTACAGCAAGAAGAGCTCGGAAGTGGCTCCGCCGCCGCCCCCGCAGCAGCAGCAGCAGCAGCCGCAGCCCCGGGCCGAGGCCCTGCCCTTACACTCGTCCTACGACCGCGGCAGCGCCGTGGCTCGGACTCTGCCCACCCCCAACATCGACTACCCCGCCCTCTACGGCAAATACCTGAACGGACTCGGGAGGTTGCCTCCCAAAGTTGCCAAGCCCGAGGTTCGCCTGGTCAAGCTCCCTTTCTACACCACCCTGGACGAGCTGCTGAAGCCCACGGAGCTGGGTGAGTCTGGGGAGGGATGGGGAGGACTGGTCAGAGTGCTGGGAAGGTGGTTTTGAGGCTCTGGGAGGTTGGGAGGCAGGAGAAGCTGATGGATGTGGTGGTGGGGACCCCTTCCTGCCCTTCCTTCCTGCCCCCCCTCTCTTGCCCCCCTCTCTTGCCCTTTCTTGCCCCCTCTCCCCCTTTTTCCTCTTCCCTTTCTCCCCCTTTTCCTCTTCCCCTTCCCCCTTTTCCTCTTCCCCCTCTCTCCCTTTTCTTCTTTCCCTCTCCCTCTTTTCCTCTTTCCCTCTCCCTCTTTCCCTCTCCCTCTTTCCCTCTCCCTCTTTCCCTCTCCCTCTTTTCCTCTCCCCCTTTTCCTCTTCCCCTTCTCCCCTTTTCCTTTTCCCCCTCTCTCCCTTTTTCTCTTCCCCTTCTCCCCCTTTTTCCTCTTCCCTTTCTCCCCCTTTTCCTCTTCCCTTTCTCCCTCCCTCTCTCTCCCCATCCCCCTTTTCCTCTTCCCCTTCTCCCCTTTTCCTCTTCCCCTTCTCTCCCTTTTTCTCTTCCCCCTCTCCCCCTTTTCCTCTTCCCCCCTCCCACTTTTCCTCTTCCCCTTCTCCCCCTTCTCCCCCTCATACTTAAACTTTAAAGCCTAATACCACTTTTCAGCACTTAAAATACCTGACCTGAAGCATCCTGTGGATGAAAGAGGGTGGCAACACATCAAACTGTATTTTTTGCTTTATTTTTTGTGCTTTCCATGCTTATTTGTATGTGGTGCTGTGAATTTTTGAGGGAAAACTGGAAGAAGTGCCTTTTTCCCCCCTGGGGCTTGGAGACTGATTTTTACATGATTTTTGGTTTGGAGAAACAAAGGGTGTTGTCAGGGATGTTAAAGAGAACGTTCTGGTAGCGAATTCAGCGTGTGGAGGGGAGAAGTTGTGTTCTGCTGAGCCTCATAAATCCAGGGGTAATGTCAGACTTCACAACTAAACCATCTGAGAACTTGGAAAAAAAAAATGTTGTGGCTTGGAGGGGAAAAAAAAAAGACAGATAAAGATATGATTGTGCAGGAAGAAAAAGAAAAAGGGCTAATTAGTCACGTTTGACACTGGTTTTGGAGGTGTTAAATACATCAAAACAGCTCAGGGGTGACAGTGGAAAGCTAAAACCTTATAAATGTTTGGGGAATGGGTTTGTTCAGCCTTAAATGTGCAGTGTGTTGGTAATGCCAGGGGAGGATTTTGAAGGAAAACGGATTTCCAAGAGGGTGGAAGAGCATCCAGAGGCAGGAGAAGAGCCTGGATGGTTTCCTGGGACAAACAGGTTTTGTTAAAAATTGACATTAAATCTCCTCAGGAGCGAGGGCTCATTAAATGAAGTGTCTCCCCCCCGGAAGGTGACACCTCCCCAGGGTCAGCACCTCCTTCCCTGGAGCAGATTTGGCTCATTTTCCATGGGGCTGGAATGGTTTCTGTGGAGCTGGGTGGGAGGTTTCATTGTCCCAGTCCGGGCACAACCAACAACATCAAACAACTGGTTTGATTTTCCCAACCTGGTGACCTGCAACTTTCTAATTCCTTTTGCAACTTTCTAATTCCTTTTGCAACTTTCTAGTTCCTTCTGCAAGTCTTAATTCCTTCTGCAACTTTCTAATTCCTTCTGCAACTGTTAATTCCTTCTGCAACACTAATTCCTTCTGCAACAGTGATGGGAATGAAGGTACATTTGTGTCTCCCCAGCCCGGGGTTGTCTCGACCCTCGGTGTCTCCCGGTGTTCCCTTTGCTCCCTTGGAGCAGCTGGAGCTGGAATAACATCCCATTAAGGGGTGGCATTGTTGGGGTGTCCTGTGCAAGGCCAGGAGCTGGAATAAATGATCCTTGGGGGTCCTTTCCAGCTGAGGGTATTCCATGAGTCTGTGATAAAACACTCCGAGTGTTTTTCCACCAAGTGTTTTTCCACGTGGAAAAATGAAACCGCTTTGTGGTTTGTTGCCCAGATTTCCCATCCTGTGCCTGGACCAAGCCTGAGCTCCTACCCTACTCCTGATGGAGCTGGAAAATCCCAGCTCCATTTAGAACCCCCCTGCTCCTGGGGCTTTTCCCTGGGCTCCAACAGGGATATTTGAAGCTCCGTGGCGGGAGTGGGAGAAGCTTCATTTACGTGTTCCTTCCTTAATGAACAGGCTCTCCTGCCTCTTGGAGATGATTGCTTTGGGATCAGAGGTGATGCCTCATTTGGGCTGCAGGGAAGCAGATTCCCTGAAGGACTCTCCAGTTACTGTTATTCTTGGAGAGAAAGGTGCTCCAGCTCAAAGCAGATCCGTCGGCTCCGTTGTGGAGCAGCCGATATCCCACTTTTTTGGGGGGGACACCCCATGTAAGGTTTGAGTTTAACACCTAAATTATGGCCATGAGCACTCCCTGCTTTGGTCTGAGGATGAAACATGAAAGGATTGTTCTAATTGAGGGAAATCTTGAGATTCCCTCGGGGAGATGATGCTTCAAATGACTCCTGATCCGACACCTCGGAGAGGGATCGAGCGCTGAGACCTGGGCTGGGTTTTAAGGAGTTCAGGGGAATATTTGTGGTGCCTCAGCTCTTTGCTGAGCTCTTTACTTATCCTCTGGCACCTTTTGGGGTGAAACAGTGTGAATATAGGAATTCTCAAGGGTTTTTATCCCAAATATTTGCCGTGAAGTCCCCACCTCGGTGGTGGCCGAGGAAGGACTGGCCGTGGCCCTCAGTGCTCCGGGCTGGGGGACAGGGCAGGGCCGGGTCAAAAGTTGGATTTGATGACCTTGGAGGACTTTTCCAACCCAAATAATCCTGGGATTCTGTAGATAAAGAGCCTTCTGGAGGCACAACCGACCTTGGGAGTGCAGCAAGGCCGCGTTGTCCGGAGGGTCCTGCTGGGATTTGTTGGATTTTCCCTTGGATTGAACAGCTCTTCTCTCCTGTGGGAGCACTAAAACTGCTCCAGCCTCTCTCCAAAGCTGGACTTTGCCTTTGGAATCTCCAAAGGTGATGCCAACATGACCTCTCTTCCCTGGGAATATAATAATGTGGGATATTAAGTTTGAAAACCAAGCTTTGCTGCAGGAAAACCCCCAAACCCCTGAAATCAGGCCTTATTTTGGGGTCTGATTTTGGGGTCCTCCTGCTGGAAGAGCTGCAGGGGAGCTTGGCCTCCCAAAGTGGGAATCCACTGCAATCCCAGAAAGTCCAGGATGAGGTTTGCCAAGTGTTTTCTTGGATTCTGGAAGTTTTGGGAGGATTTGCTAAAAACTTGAGCTCCTGCTTTGGGCAATTCTTAAATGAAGTTGATCCCAAGAGCCAACAGGAGCTGAGTTGTGTCCAGAGGCCTCTGGCCTGGAAAAAAAAGGAGAAAATTCCGTTATTTTCCAACATTTAGCTTTAAAAAACTGCTGAGTGAGAGGTGAACACCTGATTAAGTTCCCTGAGAAGGGACCTTCCGAATTTTGGGCTCCTTCTCCATTTTAAAGGCAAGTTGGGACCTCACCTGGGTCCATCCCAGAGGTTTTTCTCCTGGTTTTTCAGGGAATGTTCTCTTGCCCTTTTCTCCAAAGCCCCCAGTTCTGATTTCTGCTGCCAACAAGATGCATCCCCAGGGTGTATCTTTGATTTTTCTTCTCCCTTCAGCTGTTTTTTTTTGCCCAGGTAAGTGCTTTGTGTCCCTCTCCAGCACTTTTCCATGAGCAGGACTCCTCAATTCCTGCCTGGAGAAGGATCTCCCACAGTAAAAAAGAAGGAAAACAGGGAAACTTTGCTGCTGCTGCTCATTTCTCTCCCTTCATACCCACAGCAGAATTATTAACTCAGAAACATGACTGGTTTTTTATCCTCTTTGTGCCAGTTGTGCCTTTATATTTTTATAGTGTGTGGATTATATGTCTTTTATATTCTTATTTTTTTTTTAATAAAGGGAGAGCTGATAAAAATGCAAAATAAAAAAAGAACTTAGAATTCATGAAGCTTATAATTCTCCTAATCAGGTTTGCTTTGTCTTCGTGGGACACTGTTTATAACGACATTAAAAATCACTTTTTGTTATTGTTCTTGTCATTCATCCCTTTCCAAAAATAACTCCTGAAAGGCTTTGACTTGTGCTGGTTCATTTTGGGCAAGAGAGATTTGGGTGGAGACTGGAATTCTACACAAATTTCACGGGGGTATCTTCATTATTACTATTTTTAATGGATTTAAAGCTGAATTACCAAAAGGAGGCACCTGGAGTGACTTGGGTTGTCACCAGGCCTTCCAAGATCCGAGGGTTTATCCTTCATTTTTCTCTTATCCATGGAAAATTCCCCTTCCTGCTCCTCAAATCCCGGAATAAACTTGGCAGTCGAGGTGATGCAAAGGAAAAACACCCCAATGTTCAAAAAAAAAAGCTGTTTTAGCACTTCCTCTTGGTGTTCCTGCCCTGACTTTCACCAGCTCAGCTCTGAAAACAGGGACTCAAAATAAAGCAGGTTTGAATTTCACCTTTTTGAGCTCTCAGGCTTCGTTTTCATCCCTTTAAATGGGTTTCATCTGCTGATTCTTGAGAGCTGAAAGGCCACAGTCAGTGCTGGGGGCTGGGCAAACATCTCTCCAAGGGACCTTCTGGCCCAAGTCGGGGTTTCTCTGGTTTTCCTGCTGGTTTTGGTGTTCTCAGAGCTGAGCTTTTGGTTGCTGGGGTGGGTTTTTTCTTTTCCAGAACCTTCCTGCTGCTTTTCCATGGTTTTATCTCTTGGGTTTTTTGGAGGTCTGGTCTCACTGATGGGCTGAACAGAGGATTTGGTGGCTCCTTGATTATTTGAAGGGAAAAAAATACTAAAAAACTCCCTAAATAATAAAAAAATATTTTTAATATATATATTTCTTATTATATAATATATAAAATGTATTATATTATATTATATATAATATTAATATGTTTACATTAATGTATTTATATGTTATATATTTTATATATTATACATATTATATTTATATATTATATATGTATAATATATATGTATATATGTATATACATGTATATGTATAATATATATAATATATATAATTCTATTATATATAATATAAAATATATATAGTATGTAATTATATATTATATATTTTATATAATACATTATATAAAATATCTATTTTAAATATTATATAAAATATATATTATATATTTTATATAATATATATTACATTATATATTATTTATATTATATATAATAAAAGTGTATGTTAAATTATATTTTTATTTTTTAGTATTTTTAGTATATATATTATATATAATTTATACTGTATATATATAATATTATATATATTATATAATAAAAATATATATTAAAAATATCTTTATTATTTAGGGGTTTTTTAGTATTTTTAGTATATATATTATATATTTTATATTATATATATTAAATTATATATAATATATATTATGTATAATAAAAATATATATTAAAAATATTTTTATTTTTTAGTATTTTTAGTATATATATATATAATATAGTGTGTATATATATACTATAATATATATTGTATAATAAAAATATGTATTGAAAATATATATTTTTTATTATTTAGGGTTTTTTTAGTATTTTTAATATATATTATATATGTTATATATATGATATATAGTGTATATATAATATATATTATATATTATATAATAAAAATAGTAAATCATACTAATAACATAATAATAATAATAAATAACTAATAATACTAATAAAACACTAAAAAAAACCCCAGAAAAATCAGCTCCTAAATCCTGTGCTGTTAAAACCAACCAGGAGAGCAAAAAATCAGAATTACCAAAACCTGGGAGTTCTGTGGGAGAAAACAAGGCCTGGGATTGAAGAGAACCTCCAAAAATCCCCTTGTGCTTCCAGCTGCTGCTTCCAGGTCGATGCTCAATCTGCTTTTTTTTCTCCTCCCCAGTCCCCCAGAACAACGAGAAGCTTCAGGAAAGTCCGTGTATTTTTGCATTAACCCCGAGACAAGTGGAGCTGATCCGAAATTCCAGGTATTTTCCCCTTGGGTGTCAAGATTCCAAGGAAACACGGCCGATAATTCCCGTAATTCCTCAGCCTTCCCTCCTCTTGGAAGCTTTTGTTCTCTGCCAGGATTTGTTGGAGGCCATGGAAAGCCCAAATTTACCCCTCCAAGCCTTTAAATTGGACTTTGGCTCCTCCAATCTCCCTTTTCCACGGGGCAGGAAAAACGGGAATAAATCCTGGATGACCCGGAGCTTGTGCTGGGAATATCAAATATCTGCAGGGTTTTTTCCCCTTTCAAAAGGGGGAAAAAGCCAGACTTTAAAGCTTTGTTTTGCATGTGAAAAGAAGCTTCCTCAGTTGGGAAGGATGGAATAGGAACTGCTTGGAAAAAGGAAAACCAGCTTGGATTGGGATTTTCCCTGACCTCTGTCCCGATGCAACTTTGGATTCCAACAATGAGGCTCCTCAGAGGTGGCAGGGAGGTTTCCTCTTGGCTGACCTGCTCCCTTGGGCCTTGATGCAGAAGAATTCCTCCCCAAAATGAGGCATAAAACCTTCCCAAGATTGCTCTTTGTGCTAAAGAGAAACGTATTTAACAGATATTTATGTTCAGGAGGCGGAATTTCTCCAATATCCTGGTTATTGTGGGTTAACAGGAGGGGGAAGCTGTTGGAAAACTTCACAGGAAGGGAATAACAGACCATGGGATTCTTTCTTTCGGGGGGGATAAAAAAACTGCTGGTTCTTGAGGCTTTTTTCTCCCCATATTCAGATTTTTGGGGGGAAAACTGTCCCTGTTGAGGAACAACTCCCAATATTTCTGGGGGTCTGAAATGCTCCCATGGGTCCAACTTCTCCCACTGCCTGTGGGTGATGTCCCCACACCTCTCTCTGTCCAGGTTTCATCCCTTCCGTTCCCCAAATTTATCCTAAAACCCCGAACTGGAACGTGAAATACTCTCAGGGGCAAATCAAGCCTAATTTAGGGATTTTTTTTCCCTAAAGCCTCGAGTCTTGTGCAGGAATTAGAGGATGTTTTACACCCCTTTTTGCCCCCTCATAAAATCCCTTTGTTCTGTATATCCATGACTTTCCTGATTCCTCTTCAGATCCTGTCAGGAATGGCCCTGCTGAAGGTTGCAATATTCTCAGAGGTGCCATAACACTCAATCCCTTGGTTTGCATGAACAGCTTTAGCTGAATAATTAAAACACAGACAGTCTTGAACACTGGCAGGTAAACCTGACCTTAAAACCTAGTTTTTTTTTATAAATTCTCACACGAATCAGCAGAAGGGAAATGGAGACTTTTCACCTGAAGGGTTTTAAAAGCTGTGGGTTGGTGCATTAAGCAAAAAAAAAAAAAAAAAAGAATAATTATAATAATTACAGAACCACTGATATTTGCAGGGGGAATTGTACAATTTAAATAAAGGTCCGTGAAGTCATTTTTTTAAAGGAATGTTAAAAAATTAAGAGGGAGTGAAGCTCTTGAGTCTGGTAAAATTGACAGCTGGGTTGGGTGGGTGTTTGTTTGAGGGTTTTTGGGGTTTTTTTTCACATAATTAATCTGAACTTTCCGTTTCTTTAATTTTACCCAGGGAGTTGCAACCCGGGGTGAAATCAGTTCAGGTGGTGCTAAGGTAGGTCTGGGCATGGGGGTTGATTTCCAGACTCTGAAAACCCAGGAGAGCTTGGGAGATCCTCTGGATGCAGGAAGGATTCCAGAGGGGCGGCTTCACGCCGGGGGAGGGAGGGAACATTCCAGCAAAAGGCAGCCAGTTTTCCATGTGGATTTTGTAGCTCCAAAGATAATTCACAGGGAGCTGTAAAGAGCACAAAGAACTGTCTCAAACACCTTAAACTCTGCTTTTTGACCTCCTCCTGCCTGTGCTGCTGGAGTTGGGGCTGGACAAGTGTCCCGTGTGCCCTCCCAACTGCCATGGATTGGCTCTGCTGTGGGATTTTGGGATGGGGATGTGCAGGGCCTTTTGGGGCAATGGAGATGTTCAGAATTGTGCCATTTCCTTTCCAGAATCTGCTACACAGACACCAGTTCTCCTCAGGAGGATCAGTACCCTCCCAACATCGCCGTGAAGGTGAACCACAGTTACTGCTCCGTGCCGGTAAGGATTTGTGGGATCCAGGAAGGATTTGTGGGATTCGGGAGGGAATTGATTTCCCCATGAATGCCAAGAGTTATAAAAATGCCCCTGCTCAGTTTAAAGCTAATTTTCTGGTGGTTTAGCCTTATTGTTAATGAAATTCTGTAAAGAACTTCAATTCTTCTGCTTCGTGCTCTGACCGTTCAGCTCTGTGTTTTCCCCCCCCATCCTTGAGAACTGAGTGGAATTTAGTGGAGCTGACCCCGTGTAGGAGTAAAAGGTGAATAAATACATTTAATCCTTTTGCCTCAGGGCTACTACCCATCCAACAAACCCGGAGTGGAACCCAAAAGGCCCTGTCGTCCCATCAACCTCACGCACCTCATGTACCTGTCGGCGGCCACCAACCGCATCACGGTGACCTGGGGCAACTATGGCAAGGTGGGTGCCAAGGGAATCGCCCAGAATTCCACAGGCAGGGTGGAAGGGCAGCCTTGGTCACCCTCTGCCTCCCCTCTCTCCTCAGAGCTACTCGGTGGGGCTGTACCTGGTGCGACAGATGACCTCGGCAGAGCTGCTCCAGAGGTTGAAAACCATCGGGATCAAACACCCCGAGCTCTGCAAAGCACTTGGTGAGTCCCTCTGGCTCCATGAATCATGGAATCAGAGAATCAGCCAGGTTGGAAAAGACCTCTGAGATCATCCAGTCCAACCCTTGATCCAACCCCGCCGTGGTTCCCAGCCCGTGGCACTGATGCCACATCCAGTCTCACCTTAAACTCCACCCCCTCCCTGGGCAGCCCATTCCAATGGCTGAGCCCTCTCTGGAAAGAATTTCTTCCTGATATCCAACCTAAACCTCCCCTGGCACAGCTTCAGACCCAGCCCTCTTGTCCTACTGCTGGTTCCTGGGAGAGGAGACCAACCCCCCCCCGGCTCCCCCCTCCTGTCAGGGAGTTGCAGAGAGTGAGGAGGTCTCCCCTGAGCCTCCTCTTCTCCAGGCTGAGCCCCCCCAGCTCCCTCAGCCTCTCCTCCCAGCACTTGTGCTCCAGTCCCTTCCCCAGCCTCGTTGCTCTCCTCTGGACCTGCTCCAGCCCCTCCATGTCCTTCCTGAGCTGAGGGCCCAGAACTGGACACAGCACTCCAGGAGTGGCCTCACCAGCACTGAGGGATGTCCTGGCTGGAACTTCACAGAATCCCAGGATATGCTGGGTTAGAAGGGACCCCCAAGGATCATCCAGTCCAACCCTCAGCCCTGCACAGGCCCATCCCCAAGAATCACACCCTGTGCCCCAGAGAATCGTCCAAATGCCCCTTGAGTGCTGTGCCCAGTGCCCTGGGGAGCCTGTTCCAGCACCCGGGCACCCTTTGGGGGAAGAACCTTTTCCTAAGATCCCAAGCTAACCCTCCCCTGGCACTCCAGGCCATTCCCTGGGGTGCTGGCAGTGGGCACTGCAGTGCCTGCCCCTGCTTGGCCACAGCTGCCACGTTTGATACCTTTTCCTTTCAGTTTTTACCTGAGCAGTCTTGCAGAGAGCTCTGAGGTTCTCCTGAACTTCAGAGGATCCTCTCGTTCTCCCGACGCTTCAGCTGAGCCCTGGGAGCCATTCCCTCAGAGCCAGCACTCCCAGGATGGCCTCTGGAGCTGGGAGTGGCAGGCACAGGTTCTCCAAGCAGCTCTCCTGCCTCTTCCACAGGCCTGTGCCTCCGGTTTTACTGAGTCAGGAACTTCAGGGCAGAGATCAGTTCCATTTGGTGACTTTAACCAAGTAGGGATGTTGTCTTTATTCCTGTCCCTTTGGGTTTTGCTGCTTGGAAGTTGTTGGACGTCCAGAACTTTGCTTTCATTGCTCTGCTCTGTTCTGTGAGTGATTCCCTGTCACTCAGGCTGCCCTTTGGCTTTGGTGGCATCTCATTGCTGACTCACCTTCCTTTGCATAAAAAAACTCTGTGGAGTTTAGTACAGGAACATTTTCTAAGAACAGAGATCGTGGCTGTGCATCCAAAACACCTCAAACCTGATCAGGAGATCCTAGAAAAAAAAAACCCACCCATTTCTCCTTCCCGTGTCTCCCGAGTTATTGATGCTCTGACAAAGAACTTCATAAAAAAATTAAACTCCTAATGGGAAGAAAACAACCCCAAATCTTGTAATCTCCTGGGAATTTCACATGTGAGAAGTCACTCTCTAATTAGAGCTGGGTGTTGCAGGACTGCATGTAACCTCCCTGTCTGGAGACATCTCGTTATGATCTGAAAAGGTCAAAAGAAATGGGTGACTTGCTCCAAAGGAAAATGGTGATGGAAGTGTCAAAGGCCGTTGCAGGCAGCAGTGGGAGCAGCAGCTCCTCCTCAGGACTTGGGGAGCAGTTCCAAGCTCATTTTGTTGATATTTTTTTGGCACCCTTGGTGTGGAACTTGCCCCTGTGGGACCTGCCTGTCTGCTGCTCCCTTTGATTGCCCCGCAGCTCCTCTGGGTTTTCCTTTTGGGATGCAGCAGCAGGGGAAGGAGCCCTCCTTTCCTAACATCTGATCCTTCCCAAATATATCCTGGATGGCTGCTGGGATGGGTTTTTCCATGGCTGCCTTGCTCTGAGCTGGGAATTTCTGGCTCTGTTGGTGTTCCTGGGAAACATTCTGCTGGAATGACTGACCTGGGCAGCGTAGGAGCTGCAGAGCTGCAGTGCTAAGAGTGTTTACCTGGTGGGGAAAATAATGGGAAAATGAGTGTTTACTCTCATTTTGACTTTATCCCTGCTTTCTGACCAGCTAAGCCTAAACTGACTTTGCTCCTGAAGTCTTGCCAAGAGCTGGAGCTGAATCCATCCACTCCTTCCCTCCCTGGGAGGGAAAAGGCCTCGTGCACAGCCAAGGGCTGTGGGTGAGCTGCTCCTCCTGTGCTGCACTTTGTTTCCAAGGTTGGAATTTGCAGCTGTTCAATGTTGTGCCCTCTGCTCTCCCTGCAGTGAAGGAGAAGCTACGCCTGGACCCGGACAGTGAAATCGCCACCACGGGTGTCCGGGTGTCCCTCATCTGTCCGGTGAGTCCGGCTGTTCCCGTGGGATCAGCCTGGTTTGGGTTGGAAGAGACCTTAAAACCCATCCAGTGCCACCCCTGCCATGGGCAGGGACACCTTCCACCAGCCCAGGTTGCTCCAACTTGGTCTTGGACACTCCCAGGGATGGGACAGCCACAGTTTTGGTGGAAAATCCTTTCACAGCCTCGCCACCCTCACAGGGGAGAATTCCTTCCTGATATCCCATCTGACCCTGCCCTCTGGCAGTGGGAAGCCATCCTCCTTGTCCTATCCCTCCATATTTTGTCCCAAGTCCCTCTCCAGCTCTCCTGGAGCCCCTTTAAGCCCTGGAAGGGGCTCTCAGGTCTCCCTGGATCCTTCCCTTCTCCAGGTGAACCCCCCCAGCTCTCCCAGCCTGGCTCCACTCCTCTATTTAGACCGTTTTCACCCCAAACCCCAAATCCCCTGCTGGACCAGCATTACAAACTCCCAAATCCTTCTCCTTCAGAGGGGAACTGGGGGATTCCTGGGCTGTTCCCTGGCTGACACGGTGCCCTTGGTCCCACAGCTGGTGAAGATGCGTCTGTCGGTGCCGTGCCGGGCGGAGACCTGCGCGCACCTGCAGTGCTTCGACGCCGTCTTCTACCTGCAGATGAACGAGAAGAAGCCCACGTGGATGTGCCCTGTGTGTGACAAACCTGCCCCCTACGACCAGCTCATCATCGATGGGTGAGCTTGGACCCCTCTCAGCCCCTTCCTCTCCTCTCCTCTCCTCGTTCGCCCCGAGCGTCTTCGCTCGAGTGGTTCCTCCTCAAAGCTCTCCCCAAAGTTTATTCTGCTGGCGCAGAATATCCACGCTGAAGTGTCACAGCAAGACCCAGATCTCTCTCTGCCATTCTTGGGTTGGGTTGTTTTTTTTTTTGGAATGCACTGAAGCATTTTGAGGATTGAGAATTTGCTGCCTCGCTCACGGGCTGGCGTCTCGGTTGACAGGATGTCTCCTCGCACGGAATAAATCCCTTCGTAAACACCCAGGAAGACGATTTTTGACAGGAAACATCTTGTTTTCCTCGGTGTGAGGTGCTCAGCAGCTCACAGGCAGTTCATGGCACGCTGCAAATTTGGTCTGGGGACCTTCTCCATCAACCAGAACGTCCTGCCCTTGAGACTGAGGCACAGAGGCAGTTTTGGGAAGAGTTTGTTCTGTCTGTGTGACTGTTCAGTACAATTCCTGTGGCTCTTGTGGGTGTCTTGGTGACAGGGCTGGGAAAGATCCCTCAATAGGAACTCCTGCTGTGTTTTCCAGGGGGGAAAAGCAGGAGATTCAGATGCAGTGGAGGGACAGAATTAAACTGCTTTGGTTATGTTTTCCAGGCTGGAGGTTTTCCCCATCCACCTGGACTCCCTGAGCCTCCCAGTCCTGGTTCCTCTGGGGACACCCAGTGGGGGTTGATCCCTTCCTTGGAGTCTTTAGGGCCCCCCAGGTCCCTGTGGGGTGTGGGATGTGCTGGGAGGGACCAGACCTTTGGTGCAGCACTTTTGGGGTGGGTTTGGAAGCAGCTTTGTTGCCCCAAAATTCTGGGAGCCCGTTTGTGGGCTGGGACCACCAGCACTGTCGTGGTGCTGGCCAAGCCCTGAGCCACCCCCAGGACTGCAGGAGCCAGACACGTGGTTCCTGCCTTCTGGAAAACCAGCTCCACCCTCATGGCTCGTGGAATTGGCCTGTGATGCAGGTCACTCAAAAGTAGGGAGGGTTTAGAGGGGTTTTTGGGGTGCATCCAGCTCCCCTGGCACACGAGTCTGTTCCCAGGGCCGGGCCGATGGTTCTCGGAGCGTCGCCGCGTTTGTGGCTCCTCGTTTGATCCAGGAGCTGTGGCTTTCCAGGCAGTCTGGAGGCTGGAGCAGCCTCAGCACAGATAACCTGTTTGCTTTGTCCTCTGGCCAACCCCAACAGGAAAATCCAGTTCCTTGGAGATCCCTAACAAGGGGAGGGTAGGAGGGGTTGGGCTGTGGAAGCCCCTCGTGTCCTGGGTGAGGAGGAGGAGGAGGGTGTCAGAGGGGAAGGCTCAGCAGCCTTTAATCCCTGCTCTGCACTGCTCAGGGATGAGTTTTGGTGCTGGTTCTGTTGGATGAAGGTTGTTTCAGATTCCCTGGAAGTGGCTGAGGGAACCTGGCACTGTGAGTCAGGGAAGAGCCGGAGGCTCCCAAGGAGGGAGGTGGTTGGTCGGGTCTGGGATCCTCAGGGCCTTGGCAGCTTTTTGGGAAGTGCAGCTCGGTGGTTGCTCTGCTGGATGATGGGATTGTCCGTGGAGACAATTCCTGCAGGAGCTGAGCAAAGCTGAAAACTCTCTCAGTGGTGGGGCCTAAAGTTTCTCCTGAGCTTGTACGTTTTTTGCTACAAATTCTCCCTTCTCCTTGAAGGGAAATGCTCGAGTCCAGGAAGGAATGAGGCCTTGCAGTTCCAAATAAACATCCCAGGCAAACAGTGGGACACAGGGAATAAATCAAGCCCCCTGTTTCTCTGGGCTCAGGGCCTCGTTCCAGTTGGATCTCTGCAAGGCCTGACCTCGAGGGATCCACTCCAGGTGCATTTTCAGTCCTGAACAGGGTTTTCCTGTTGCAGGGAGGCTCCATGTGTTGTTTTGATGGCAACTGTGGAGATTTGGGAAATAAAACACCAGGATGTTGGATTGCTGATTTCCCAGTGTGACAGGAAATTTCACCTTCTGCTAATGCCACGGTGGGAATGTCCCTGGGAATGTACCCGGGAATGTCCCTGGGATGGGACAGCAGGCTCTGCCTGGAAGCAGTACCTGGGAAACTGGGTGAAGAGGCAAAACTGTCTTTAATTGCACCTAATTAAGGTGGTGCTTGATGGTTTGGGTGCTCCCAGTCAGGGAGGACTGGGATGGTTTCACCCTCAGAACCGGCGCTGGTTTTATGGGGAATAAATTCCACGACTCCCAAGAGCTCCCAGCTCAGGGGCCTTCTGCCAACACCACATTCCCTTGAAATGTAGGGCTGGTGAAGGTAGAAGATGCAGGGTCACTGAAGACACTGTGCTGGTTGCCTGGGGTGTGACAGCTCCTCCTGTCTCCCCTGCAGGCTCCTGTCCAAGATCCTGACGGAATGTGAAGACGCGGATGAGATCGAGTACCTGGTGGACGGCTCCTGGTGTCCCATCCGAGCTGAGAAGGAGAGGAGCTGCAGCCCCCAGTGCCCAATCTTAGTTCTAGGTGAGTCCCCATGGGGATAAAGGCTTGAAATCCCTGTAGGAAATCACAGAATTCCGGAATGATTTGGCTTGAAAGGGACTTTCAAGCTCATCCAGTTCCACCCCCTGCCGTGGGCAGGGGCACCTCCCACTATCCCAGGTTGCTCCAACCTGGCCTTGGACACTTCCAGGGATGGAGCAGCCACAGCTTCTCTGGGAAATCCATTTCAGTGCCTCCCCACCTTCCCAGGGAGGAATTCCTTCCCAATATCCCACCTGCCCTCTGGCAGTGGGATAATTCTTTCCCAATATCCCACCTGTCCTCTGTCAGTGGGAAGCCATTCCCTGTGTCCTGTCCCTCCATCCCTTGTCCCAAGTCCCTCTCCAGCTCTCCTGGAGCCCCTTTAGGCCCTGGAAGGGACTCTCAGGTTTCCCTGGAGCCTTCCCTCCTCCAGACTGACCATCCAGGAGCGTTGGAACATCCCCTGCCCAGGTTTTCACTCCCTCCTCTCTCCCCTCACCCTCTCCAGGCTCCTCGGATGTGAACGGGCTCCTTCCCCCCCCTGCCGGGAACGGCGAGAACGGCAAAGCCCCCGCGGATGTCGTGGATTTAACACTGGACAGCTCATCCTCCGAGGAAGAGGAGGAGGAGGACGAGGAAGAGGATGATGATGACGAGGGACCCCAACCCAAACGACGCTGCTCTTACGAGAAAGGTTTAGTCTCTGCCTGCTGACGTGGCTCCGCGTCCCCACGGACACACTTGAATACTCTGGTGCTTATTAAACTGGAGGAAAGGGGGAGAACGTCCTCTCCCACCTCATCTCCCTCCCTCCCTCATCTCCTCTGACTTTCCTATTCCGAATTATTCATTAAAACGAGAGAGAAAAACAAAAAAGAAAAAAAAAAAAAAAAAAAAAAAAAAAACCACAAAACGCGAAAAAGAAAAAAAAAAAAACAAAAACAAACCACAAACAAACCATTTTGAGCTGCTTCTTGGTTGGAAAACGACCCCACTCAGAGCCTGACCCTGAACTGGAGCCTGAAGGAAGGAAAGTGTCTTAAGCCAGGCAGGATCCTCCCTCCCCTGGATGCCAGGATCAAGGGAGTTCACCTGCACACCTCCAGGACACCCAGCCCTGCATCTCCAAAGCCGTGGGCAGTTTGATCCTCTTGTTAAATAACCATTCCTTAATTAATCTAAAGGTTTTGCTGGGGGAGGGAGGGGGAGGGGGGAGGGCAGGGTTTGTGTGTGAGGGGGGGGGTTGTATAACCCAGCAAGGATAGAGGGGAGGGTTTGTAGGGGTGGGGAGAAGGGAGGGGGCATGGGGTGCCAGGGCTGAGCTGGCGGGGTTGGAAGCGCACTGTTCTTAGAGAGGAGCTCCAGCAGCTCTGCACCTCATGCAAAGAGACACGGTTGGAATCTTGATCCTAATCCCAAGGGGAACGTAGAGATTTGTGCGTAGTGACTCGTTTTAGTTGAGCAGAAGCCATGGGGGGGGGATGTCGGGAGGGAGGGAGGGAGGGGAGGGAGGGGCTGGAACCACAAATCTGTTGTATTTTTGAAGTGCAATAACTTGGTGTTTTTGAAGATTGACAAGGGCTGCGCATTCCCTTTTCGTTGAGGTTGGTTCTGGAGGGCAGTCACAGCCCCCGGGGGTGGGGACAGGGACCTGCAGGGCACCCCCACACCCCTGGGGACAGTGGAGTGACCTGCAGGACACCCCCACACCCCTGGGGACAGTGGAGTGACCTGCAGGACACCCCCACACCCCTGGGGACGGTTGAGTGACCTGCAGGCCAGTCACACCCCTGGGGACGGTTGAGTGACCTGCAGGACTGTCACACCCCTGGGGACAGTGGAGTGACCTGCAGGACACCCCCACACCCCTGGGGACGGTTGAGTGACCTGCAGGGCAGTCACACCCCCAGGGATGGTGACAGTGACCTGCAGGCCACCCCCAGACTTGGGGATGGTTCAGTGACCTGCAGGACTGTCACACCCCCAGGGGACAGTGGAGTGACCTGCAGGACTGTCACACTCCCTGGGGACAGTGGAGTGACCTGCAGGGCAGTCACATACCCAGGGGAGGGGACAGTGGCCTGCAGGACAGTCACCCAGGGATGGTGACCATGACCTGCAGGCCACCCCCAGACTTGGGGATGGTGACAGTGACCTGCAGGACTGTCACACTCCCTGGGGTGGGGACAGTGACCTGCAGAACTGTCACACCCCCAGGGACAGTGGAGTGACCTGCAGGACTGTCACACTCCCTGGGGACAGTGGAGTGACCTGCAGGGCAGTCACATCCCCAGGGATGGTGCCCATGACCTGCAGGCCACCCCCACCCCCGGGCACACGTGGCACTGAGCAGGAGCAGGGGCGGGGGGGGCCCTTCCAGAAAATGCCAGGGGGGGAATCTCAGTTTTTAGCCAACTACCTCGGTAACTCCAATTCAGGTTTCTTCGAGCCCCGGGCCCGGCCGGGCGGGGGGAGGGCAGGGCCGAGGGCTCCGGGCTTTCCACTCCTCTGTCCCCCACTTTGGTGCCAGAGCCAAAGCTGCTCCCGTGCTCGTGATGGCAAAACGTTGTTGCTTTTGAGTTTGTGACCCGTCACAACCCTTTTGACTTTGATGTCTCAGAGAGTTTCTGTCGTGACCTTTGTCCGCTGACTCCTCCCAGCTCCGCTTCGCTCTGGGCCTCGCCGGCTTTTCCCACCGGGATGGGCAGGGAAGGGCCCTGGGCTGTGCCCACGGGGTGATGCCCCCGTGCCCAAGGCTGAGCTGAGACCCCTGAGCACTGGGCAGGGGGTTTTGGTGTTGCTGGGCATTGCCAGACCCCAGACCCTCCATCCTTCCTTCAGCCCTTGCCCTGGGCACCCCAAACCCTCTGTGCTTCATCCTTCCTTCATCCTTCCCCCCTGGGCACCCCAAACCTCCAACCTCCCTTCATCCCTTGCTCTGGGCATCCCAAACCCTTAGTGCTTCCTTCATCTTTCCCTCAGGGCACCCCAAACCCTGCAATCTCCCTTCATTCCTTGCTCTGGGCACCCCAAACCCTCCATCCTTCCTTCATCCTTTATCCTTCCCTCAGGGCACCCCAAACCCTGCAATCTCCCATCATCCCTTGCCCTGGGCACCCCAAACCCTCCATCTCTTGCCCTGTGCACCCCAAACCCTCCACCCTTCCTTCATCCCTTGCCCTGTGCACCCCAAACCCTCTGTGCTTCCTTCATCCCTCTCCTCTGGACACCCCAAACCCTCCATCCTTCCTTCATCCTTCCCCCCTGTGCACTCCAAACCCTCCATCCTTCCTTCATCCCTTGCCCTGGACACCCCAAACCCTCCATCCTTCCTCCACCCCTTGCCCTGTGCACCCCAAACCATCCTCCCTCCATCCCCCCCCAGCACGCAGGGCACAGAGAGGGGGGTGTTGGGGGGCTGTTGGTGCATTCCCAGCGCTCCCCCCTCGCTCCCCAAAATCCCACCTGGAGGGAAAAGCCCCCGAGGTCCCCCCAGAGCTGCCCTAAATCCCAAACTTCTCCCAACCGCGGAGGGGTCACCCCCCCAGCTCTGGGGGCTCCTCTCCCACTCCCCCCCCTCTCCCACATGGGGTGGGGGGGCCCTGAGCTCCCAACCCTCCCTGCCCGGCTCCGTTTTGCCTCCAGACCTGGAATTTGAAGGGAAAAAAGGGAGGGATTCTCCCGTTTTCTCCCCAGGTGTCCGGCAGGGAGCGTTCCTGGAGCATCCCGGTTTTACTTCCACGGGGGAAACTCGCACTTGTTTGCCACAGGCTTTTGCTTTTCCTTCTCTTTTCCTGGTTGTGTGTAAGCAATATGTTTTCAGGTTGAAACAGGGGTGGGGGTGGGGAAAAAAAAAAAGGGGGATTTAAAACAACCTTAACAAAAAAAAAAATAACCTGGGTAGAGCTCCAAAATCAAGTTTTACTGTACAAAGTTCTGTGCTCTCAGCCCTGGCTGCACAGTAGCTTTAGAGTCCACTTTGTTTTTTCCTAATATTTTTATTCTAATTTAATTGCTTTTAAACTTTCCGGGCCAAGCAACTGTTTGGAAACACCGTGCTTGTGTTAGTGCTTTCTGTTGGAGTTGGCCAGCTCTTCCTGTACATATGTTTTGGGTTTTGTTGTTTTTTTTTTTTTTTTTCCCTTCTATACGTTTGTTTGTTTTTTTTTTTTTTCCCTGGTTTTTATTTTTTTTTTTCCCCCTTTGTTTTGTAAAGAGAGAGAAAAAAAAAAAAAAAAGGACAAAAAAACATAAAAACGAAACGAAAAAAAAAAGAAAAAAAAGAAAATTATTTTTCTTTCCCTCAGTACACATTCTTCAAAAGTTCAAATTATAGTGTTTGTTAAATAAAATGAAAGATTTACATTTAATTCCGTGTCGGCTTGTTGGGATTTCTGACCTCGGCATCTCCAGGAGTTCCCTGGGAATCCTCGGGATCTCACCAGGGGCTCCAGAGCCTCCCCAGGATTTGCCTGGGGATCCCCAGGAGCTCCCCCAGGTTTTCCAGGATCTTCCTGAGCTCCTCAGGATTTCCCCAGGAGTCCTTGAGATCTTACCTGGGGTCTCCGGGAACTCCAGGGGGGTCCTCGGGGGCTCCATGAGCTCCCTGGAGATCCACGGGATCCTCAGGATCTTCTCCCAGGGTCTCCAAAGGATCTTGCTCTGAGTCCCTGGGATCTTGCCTGGGGTCTCCAGGAACTCCCTGGGGATCCCTGGGGTCTCACTGGGATCTCCAGGATCTCCCTGAGGTCCCCAAGATCTCCCCAGGGTGCCCAGGAATTCGTTGGGGTTCTCCAGAATCTTCTCTCGGGGTCTCCAGGATCTCCAGAGGGTCCCCAGGAGCTTCCTCCAGGTACCCAGGATCACCCTGAGCTCACCCCAAAAATGAGCCCCAGGGGGCAGGAGGATCCCAGGGCAACACCCAGGGGTGTGTGTGTGTGTGTGTCCCCCAGGCTCCCAGGATTTCCCTGGGCATCCCCAGGATCTCTCCAGGATCTCTCCAGGATCTCACCAGGGCCTCCAGGAACTTCCTGAGGGTTCTGAGGATCACCCTGAGCTCCCCCCAAAATGAGCCTGGAGGGTCTGTGCCTGGGGCAGGAGGGTCCTGGGTCGATCCCAGTCCCCCTCCACAGGCTCCCAGGATTTCCCTGGGCATCCCCAGGATCTCTCCAGGGCCTCCATAAACTCCCTGGGGATTCCAAAGGTCGCCTGAAATAAGTCCAGAGGGTCCGTGCCCGTGGCAGGAGGGTCCTGGCTCAACCTCTGCCCCCCTCCCCGATGTCCCCCCGGATTTGGGGGGCAGCCCCAACCCCCCCCCGGGCCCCGTCCCCGCGGGCACCTCGGTGCCACTTCGAATTCCTCCACCTCCAGAGGGATTAATCATTTTATTTATGAGGCTTAAAGGCCTCAAATCCCGCTAAAGCCGGGGCTTTGCCAGATAAACAGCCCGCTTTGGGGGCAGCGCGTTTGTGAAAACACAATTAGCAAACCCTGTAATCTGCACTAATTACCGGGGGCCCCGAGCGCCGGCGGCGGCGGCGGCAGCGGCACCATGGGGGACACGGGCACCGGGGGGCACCGGGGGGACACCGGGGGGCACCGAGAGGACACGGGCACCGGGGGACACCGGGGGGACACGGGCACCGGGGGGCACGGCGGGCACACGGGGCAGGGGACGCGGCGCCCACCCGGAGCCTCCTTCACCATCGAGTCGCTGCTGTCGGAGCGGCGGGACGGGACCCCCCCGAGCCCGGAGCCCCCCGGGAAGAACCCCCCGGGAGGAGCCCCCCGGCCCCCGCCCGAGCCCGGGGACAAACCGGCGCAGTCCTACATCGCCCTCATCTCCACCGCCATCCTCTCGTCCCCCGAGAAGAAGCTGCTGCTCTCCGACATCTACCAGTGGATCATGGACAACTACCCCTACTTCAAGAACAAGGTGAGGGGGCTGGAGCCGGGAAGTCCTGGGAATTCATCCCTTGGTTTTCCCGGTGCGGGGTGGGCAAAAGCAGGAGCTGAGCCCGGGGTGCTGCTGGTGGGTGTGGGACTGGGCTGGGGGAACTCACCACGTCTCTGCTGATCCCGATCCAGTGGGAAAACGCGTCGGGATCTCGGTGCCGGTGGGGTTGGTTCACTCTGGTGTCCACTGGTGGCGGCTGATCCCAATCCACCGGGAAAAGGAGTGTGCCGGGATCTCATCAGGGGTCCCCAGGATCTTCTCCCGGGGTCTCCCAGGGTCTCCAGGATCTTCTCCCAGGCTCTCCCAGGGTCTCCAGGATTCGGATCTTGGTGCTGCTGGGGCTGGTTTCTCCAGGCACTCTTCACTCTGGTGCCCACTGATCCCAATCCAGCCGGAAAATGAGTGTGCCAGGATCTCCCCAGGGATCCCCAGGATCTTTTCCCGGGCTCTCCCAGGGTCTTCAGCAGCAGGATCTTATTACTAACAGTGCCAGTGGGGCTGGGTTCTCCAGGATTCTCCAGGCACCATTCCCTCTGGTGCCTGTTGGTGTCTGATCCCAATCCAGAGGGAAAAAACGCCCGTGCCCACGTCCAGATCTCGGCTCTGGTTTCTCCAGGCACCGTTTCCCTCCGGTGCCTCCTGATGTCGGCTGACCCCAATCCACCGGGAAAACACGCGTGCCAAGATCTCCCCAAGGGTCCCCAGGACCATCTCCCGGGGTCTCTCTAAGGGTTTCTTCCAGGATCCAGATCTGTGGGTTTCCAGGATCCAGATCTGTGGATCTCCAGGATCCGGATCTCGGTGCTGCCGGGGTTGATTTCCCCAGGCACCGTTCGCTCCGGTGCTGCCGCGGGGCACGGGGCGGGCATGGGGTGGGCACAGCGGGGCCGTGAGGGGGGGACTCGGCCTGGCTGACCCCCTCTCCCTCTCTGCCCAGGAGAAGAGTTGGCGCAACAGCGTCCGGCACAACCTGTCCCTCAACGAGTGCTTCGTCAAGGCCGGGCGCAGCGACAACGGCAAAGGCCATTTCTGGGCCATCCACCCCGCCAACCTCGAGGACTTCGCCAAGGGCGACTACCACCGGCGCCGGGCCCGGCGGCGCGTCCGCAGGTCAGTGGGGGTGCCCGTCCCGGGGGTGGCACGGAGGGTGGCACAGGGGGTGGTTTGGGGCTCAGCGCTCACCCCCCCGCTCTGTGTTTGCCCCCTCGCAGGGTCAACGTCGGCTTCTACCACCCCTACGCCCTCTACGGCCTCGGCTGCTGCTGCCCCTGCTGCCCCCCGGGCCCCCCCGCGCCCCCCCTGGCGCTGCCCCCCCTGGCGCTGCCCGGGACCCCCCAGCGCTGCCCCCCCGAGCGGCCCCGCTGGGCGTGGGGGCGGTTCCCCCTTCCCCGCGCTCCGGGGGTTTTCCTGCCCCGCCCGCCCTTCCTGTAAACCCCTCCCCCCCCCCGCTCGGCCCGTATGGGACCCCCCCCTTCCCCAAAATGTGGGGGTGGCTTCAGGGACACTCGGGATGTGTCGTCCCCCCCCCCCGCGACCACCACGCCAAGGGGTCACCTGTGTGTGTGTCCCCATTACTGATGACCCGGGGTGGGGCCACACCCCTTGAGGGACCCCCCCCAGAACCTCATCCCGTGTTCCCCCCGAGCCCCCAAATCCTCCAACACTCACAGGACCCCCCGGGATGGGACCCACTGCCCTGTAGCCCCCCATTGGGAGCGCTGGGCAGACTGGGAGGGCACTGGGTAGAGTGGGAGGGGGCACTGGGCAGACTAGGAGGGCACTGGGCAGACTGGGGAGGGCCCCCCATGTTGAACTGGGGCGTTGGGACCTCCCAGGATGGGCCCCACTGCCCTGGATCCCCCCATTGGGAGCGCTGGGCAGACTGGGGAGGGGGCACTGGGCAGACTGGGAGGGGGCACTGGGCAGACTGGAGGGGGGCACTGAGCAGACTGGCGGGCCCCCCACCCTTTGCCTTTCCTCTCCATTTGGGATTTTTGCTCCGTGGAGGAGCAGCCTCAGCTGGGACTCATCCCCCCCACCCCCCAAAAAACCCCTTTGCGGCCCCGGACACCCCCAAAACGGGGATCCCCCCCCTCGCCCCCCCCTCAGCCGGCTCAGGCACATATGGGGCTTAAACCCTCCAGCGGCTGCCCGTGCCCTAATTATTTCCTTACTAATTGTCCCTGACGCCCCTAATGAAAATCGCGGCTCCCAGGTGTTAAGTGGCATTAGGGCGTCTCGCTAAGAAAGACGACTCGGCCACTAAATCCCGGGATAAACCCCCAAATCCCCGCGCGCGCCCCCGAACAAGGCAGATTATGACACAAATTAATCCCCTCGCAGTGGCCGTGCCCGTTTTGGGGGGGGGTCCAGGGGGGACAGCGGGGGGGGGGAGGGTGGGATGTGTCCTGAGCTCCTGCTGGCACCGGGATTTGGGTTTTTTTTGGGGATGTGGGGTCGCCCGTGCCCGCCTCGGGCTCGCTGTTGGCAGTGACCCCCCCCCCCGGCTTGGGGAGGGGGTTTGAGGGGGGGGGACCCTCCAAACTGCCCCCGGAGGCTCCTTAAATCGTGGCCATCTGGGCCCAAACGCGATTAGAGCCCCCCCGACCCCCCCCCCGGCCCCCCGTGTCTCAGCCCCCCGCAAGCGGCTTAACTGGGCCGGGGGCACTGGGCAGACTGGGGGGGCACTGGGCAGACTGGGGGGGCCCCCCCACAACCCCATCCCGAGCCCCCAAATCCTCCAACACTCACAGGACCCCCCCGGATGGGACCCACCGCCCTGTATCCCCCCACTGGGAGCACTGGGCAGACTGGGGGGGAGTACTGGGAAGACTGGGGGGGGTGGTACTGGGTAGACTGGGGGGGCACTGAGTAGAGTGGGGGGGGCACTGGGCAGCTTGGGGGGGTACTGGGCAGACTGGGAGGGGGCACTGGGCAGACTGGGAGGGGCACTGGGCAGACTGGGAGGGGTACTGGGCAGACTGGGAGAGGGCACTGGGCAGACTGGGAGGGGCACTGGGCAGACTGGGCAGACTGGGAGGGGCACTGGGCAGACTGGGCAGACTGGGGGGGGCACCCCATGCTGGGCTGGGGCGGTGGGACCCCCACCCTGTGCCGGGGGGGGGGGTTGTTCCATTTGGGGAAACTGAGGCCACAGGTTGAGAGTGACCCCCCCTCACACCCCCCGCAGCCCTGGACCCCCCAAATCAGGGGGACCCCCCCCAAAACACCCCCCTCTGTGGTCCTGGACCCCCCCAGAAACAGGGGAACCCCCCCAAAACCTCCCAGTCTGCAGCCCTGGACACCCCTGAATTAGGGGGAACCCCCCCCAAACACCCTCCCCTGTGGTCCTGGACCCCCCCAAATCAGGGGGAACCCCCCCAAACAGGCCTGAACATCCTGAAAATAGGGGGAACCCCCCCCCCAAACAACCCCTCCTGGAACCCCGGGCACCCCCAAACAAGGAGACCCCCCCCCCCCCAAAACCCAAATCCAAGAGGAACCCACCCAAAATATCCCCCCCGGCAACCCCGGACACCCCCAGACCAAAGGGAATCCCCCAAAAATCAAAGGGAATCCCCCCCAAACCAGAGGGGACCCCCCCAAACCAGGCCTGGACACCCCCAAAATCAGGGGAACCCCCCAAAAACCAGGGAACCCCCTCAAAAAAAACCAGGGAACCCCCCAAACTACCCCCTCCTGCACCCCTGGACCCCCCCAAACCAGGGGGACCCCCCCACTCCCCCATCCCCAAACCCCCCAAACCCAACAACTCCCCCCCAAACCCATGAAAAACCCACCAGAACCCCCCCTAAAAAAAATTGGGGGGACCCCCCAAAACCTCCTCCCCCAAGAAGACCCAACCGGCTCCGGGTGTATTTTTTTTTTAATATATACTTTATTTCTCTCTTTTTTTTTTTTAAATTTTTTTTTGTTTTTATTTTAAAGCCCCTCCCAAAGTGCAATTTTTTATTATTTCGATTTACTTTTTTTTTTTTGTCTTTTTTTTTTGTTTTTTTTTTTTTTTTTTTTTTGTCCTTTTTGTTGGTCGTAATTTGGATTTCTTTATTTTTTTTTCTCCTCCTCTCTCCCCCTCCCCCCGACTGTTTTTTACAAAGAACGATCAAAGGTACAATCTATGGAATGTCTTTCTGTCTTTATTTTTTTTTATTTTTTTAAGATTTTCTTTCTCCTCTCGTTCTTCTCTTTTCTCTTTCTCTCTTCCCTTTTTTTTGCCTCGCTCCACTCAGCATCTTTTTTTTTCCTGTTTTCCTTTCTTTTTTTTTTTTCCCCTCCCTCCCATATCCCCTCCTCCACTTTTTTTTTCTCCCCTCCCCAGCCCCGAAAATCCGCACCGAAAAAAAAAAAAAAAACCAACCAGCCCCAAAAAAATAAGTCTGGAAACACATAAAAACGGCTGAAACTTTTTGCGAGTGCTTGAAGATAAAGAATCTCTTTAATAGATTATATAGAAAGACGCAGGAAAAAAAAAAAACAAAAACAACAAAAAAACCGAAAATAAACGAAAAAAAAAAGGGAAAAAAACGAAAATAAAATTAATATTTATAATAAAGTGGCCCCACCTCGAGCGTCCTTTGGGGTCCCCGAGCTCGGTGTCACAGTGACCCCCCCCCGGAGACATTTCAGCTCTTGCTGTGTATATATATATATATATATATATAAATTTTTTTTAATATAAAACACAATTAAACGCAGCATTTTAATCTTTCCCACCCCCTCAAGCCCTCCCCCCCCAAAAAAAATTTCCGTCCTGTTTTTTGCTCTTTTTTTTTAAAAAACTCTCGTTTGTCTTTATTTAAATAAAATTGTGGGGTTTGTTTGTTTGTTTGTTGTTGTTGGTTTTTTAATTGTTTTTTTCTCTGGGTTTAATTAAAAATATAAATAGATTTGGACGTTAAGGGGGGGGGGTTTGGGGGGTTCATCGTTAAATTAGGAAATTAAGGGGGGGTTGGGGGTGTAAAGGGGGGGGTGAAGGGGGATTTGGGAAGGGGGGAAGGGGGAAATCAGCCCTTTTCCTGTGGAAAAATGGGAATAATGAGACCCCCCCACACACCCAGTGCTCAGTTTGGGGGGAGCAGGACACCCCTGACCCCCCCAGAGACAATTTTGGGGGGTTCAACACCCCCCTTTTGTCACCCCCAGACCCCAAATTAGCCGGGAATGGCCCCAAACACCCCCCGGCTGATTTGGGGGGGGGACACACCCCAATGAGGGGGGGACGGACCCCCCAGGCCGGGCTGAGCCCCCTAAACCTGGACTAACTGCCCCTAAATTTGGGCTGAGCCCCCTAAACCTGGACTAACTGCCCCTAAATTTGGGCTGAGCCCCCCAAACCTGGACTAACTGCCCCTAAATTTGGGCTGAGCCCCCCAAACCTGGACTAACTGCCCCTAAATCCAGGCTGAGCCCCCCAAACCTGGGCTAACTGCCCCTAAATCCAGGCTGAGCCCCCCAAACCTGGGCTAACTGCCCCTAAATCCAGGCTGAGCCCCCCCTAAATCCAGGCTGAGCCCCCCAAACCTGGACTAACTGCCCCTAAATCCAGGTTGAGCCCCCTAAATTTGGGCTGAGACCCCCCCAAACTTGGGTTAATTCCCCCTAAATCCAGGTTGAGCCCCCCCCAAAGTTGGGCTGAGCCCCCTAAACTCAGGCTGAGCCCCCCCAACCAGACCTGAGCCCCCCCAAAATGTGGATTAATCCCCCCTAAACTTGGGCTGAGCCCCCCAAACCTGAACTGAGCCCCCCTCAAACGTGGGTTAATCCCCCCTAAATCTGAGCTGAGCCCCCCCCTAACCAAGTTAACCTCCCCTAAATCCGGGCTGAGCCCCCCAAACTCGAGATGAGCCCCCCAAATTCGGGCTAAACCCCCCAAATTCGGGTTAATCCCCCCAAATTCGGGTTAATCCCCCCCTAAATCTGAGCCGAGCCCCCCCGACACTGGGGGTGATGGGATGGAGGGGGGAGAGAAGGGAAACACTGATTTTTTTCCCCTCTTTTCTACCCCCAAACCCCTCATTTCCCGCCCCCCCCCCGATTTCCCCCTTGGCTTCGATCCAGTCGTTATTATTTCATCATTCGAGTATTATTTCATAATTTATTATTATAATTATAATTATCACTATTATTATTTCTCTCTCTGTCTCTCTCTCTCCCCCTTTCCCACCGTAACTCAGCACTTTCTTTGGCAACGTTTGATCCCGACCTGGATTTTAAAAACCACCACCAAAAAACAAACAAAAAAAAATCAAATTAAATGGAAATCATCATAATAACCATAAAAATCTCGAGGCTGAGCTACAGGGGGAGGGTTTGGGGGGGTCAGGGGGTTTAAGGCAGGTGACAGGACAGAGACAAAAACGGGAGATTTTGGGAAGGGTTTGAGCTTTTTTTTTTCTTTTTTTTTTGCTTTATTTCGCTTTATTTTTTAGTGCAAACTTCACCTTTTGTGCTAAAGTGTCGCCACTTTTCGGGCGGGGAGGGGGGCACGGGGACGTCATTTGGGGGAAGCCTGAGGGCGCCTCCGCTCGCCTCTGCCTTTTTGGGTGGGGGTGGGGGGGCGCGGGCGCCTGGGGGGGGTGTCCGTGGGCCCTTCGTTGGTCCGCCATTGGTCGCCCCCGGTCCTCCCCGCCCCCCCCCCCCCCCCCCCCCTTTTCTCCTTTTATTTCTCATTCCCCCCCTTTATTCTTTATTTCTCATTTCCCCCCTTTTTTATTTCTCACTCCCCCCTTTTTTATTTCTCATTTCCCCTTTTTCCTTCTCCTTTTCCCTGTTTTTTTCCTTCTTTCCCCCCTTTTTCTCATTTCCCCCTTTTCCTCCTTTTCCCCCTTTTTTCCCCACCCTTTTTTCCCCTTCCCCCAATTTCCTTTTCCTCCACGTTTTTCCTCATCGTTCCCCGTTTTTTTTTTCCTTCCCCCCTTTTTCTCCCCCTCTTTTTTGTTTTTTTTTTTTCCTTCCTCCTTTTTTCCTCCCAATTTCCCCCTTTTTTTCCCCCCTTCTCTCCACACCGGGAGGATCCCACCGACTCCACCCCCTTCCCCAGCGACGCCGCTTTCCCAGAACCCCCAAAATCTCCCAGAACTCCTCCGGGATCGGGAAAAGGGGGGGAAAAGCAGCAGCGAGGAGCTGGGGGAGGGTCGGAAAAATCCAGGGAAAAACCGGGACAGACTCGAGAGGAGCCACCACAACTCCGAGTACGACAAAGAACCTCAACAAGTGTCTATTTACAAAATCCACACGGGAGTTTTTTGGGGTTTTTTTGTTGCATATCCCAAAATTCGCCAGCGCTGCCATCCCAGCCCGGATCCCTCGGGCACCTTCCCGGGGGGATTCCCTGCCCAAATCCCGATTTACTGCCCCGAGGAGGGAGTGGGGGGGATGCAAATCCACAGGGAACATTCCCAGCCCCGTTCCCACCTGGATCTGGGTCCCTCCAGCACCTTCCCAGAATCCCAACTGGGATTCCCAGAATCCCAACTGAAGTGCCCAAGGGGGGAAGGAGAGGGACACAAATCCATGGGGGACACAAATCCATGGGGGACACAAATCCATGGGGAATATTTTAGGCCTCTTTCTGTTCTGGATCTGGGTCCCTCCAGCACCTTCCCGGGGGGATTCACTGCCCAGATCCCAATTTACCTGCCCAGGGAAGAGCTGGAGGGATCCAATTCCACAGGGAGCATCACAACTCTCCAGTTCCAACCTGGATCCAGGTCCCTCCAGCACCTTCCTGGGGGATTCACTTCCCAGATCCCAATTTACCTGCCCAGGGAAGAGCTGGAGGGATCCAAACCCACAGGGAGCAACACAATTCCAACCTGGATCTGGGTCCCTCCAGCACTTTCCCAGGGGGATTCTCTTCCCACATCCCAATTTATCTCCCAGGGAAGAGCTGGAGGGATCCAAAGGGAGCATCACCCCCCCCCCCCCCCCATTCCAGCCTGGATCCAGGTTCCAATTTCCCTGCCCAAGGTGGGAGCAGGAGGGATTCAAATCCACAGGGAACAACACGACCCTTTCCCCCAAATCCAACCTGGATCTGGGTCCCTCCAGCACCTTCCCAGGGGGATTCTCTTCCCAGATCCCAATTTATCTGCCAGGGAAGAGCTGAAGAGATCCAAACCCACAGGGAGCAACACAATTCCAACCTGGATCCAGGTCCCTCCAGCACCTTCCTGGGGGGATTCACTTCCCAATTTATCTCCCAGGAAGAGCTGGAAGGATCCAAACCCCACAGGGAGCATCACAATTCCAACCTGGATCTGGGTCCCTCCAGCACCTTCCCGAGGGGATTCACTGCCCAAAATCCCAATTATTCCCCCTGCCCGAGGCGGGATCCGAATCCACAGGGATCCCCCCCCCCCCATCCCAACATTCCAACACCGACTGGCTAAAAAAAAAACAACCCAAAAACCAAAACATTGAAAAATAAAATTATTTAAAAAAA